ATGTTTGTGTGTGTGTGTGTCTGTGTTCGTCTGTCCGGGTGTTTCAACTCGCCAACCACGCAAGCTTTGAGGCTGAAATTTTGCCAGTGTGTTCCCCAGCCAAGTGCCACCCCAGGACCGCAGAATCAACACTCTCACGCATGCCTAGGCCCCGCGCACGAGCACGTGAAAGTTTTGGCGCGAAAATTGAGAACTCGGGAACGAGAAAAGCTAGAAAGCTGAAGCTTTGGGGGAATGTTCCCTACCTGTGTATGACAAAAAGGTTTCAAATTCAGCTGCCCAGGATTGCCCGGGGCTTACGTACGGGCACGTGAAAATTGTGGCGGGAAAATTCATAACTTGGGAATGAGGAAAGCTAGAAAGTTGAAACTTTGGAGGAATGATCCCTACTCATATGCGACCAAAAGTTTTCAAACCCAGCTCCTTAGGACAGCCCGGGACCCACGTGCGGGCACATGGAAATTTTAGTGCGAAAATTACTGATCCGGGAGCGGGAAGAACTAGAAAGCTGAAACTTTAAGGGGAATGTTTTCCACTCATGCACGAGCAAAATCAGGTGTTTAGAAGCGCCTTGGGGCTTACGTGCAAGCACTTGGAAATTTTGGCGCGAAAATCATTAACCTAGGAACAGTAAAAGCTAGAAAGCTGAAACTTTAAAGGAATGTTCCCTACTCATGTACGAGCAAAATCAGGTGTTTAGAATTGCCCGGAGCCCAAGTGCGTACACGCGGAAATTTTGGCGCGAAAATCACTAACCCAGAAACAAGAGAAGCTAGAAAGCTGAAACTTGGGGGAATGTCCTCTACTCATGTACGACCAAAATCAGGTGCTCAGAAGCGCACGGGACCCACGTGCGGGCACGTGGAAATTTTGGCGCGAAAATTACTAATCCGGGAACAGTAAAAGTTAGAAAGCTAAAACTTTAAAGGAATGTTCCCTACTCATGTACGAGCAAAATCAGGGTGTTTAGAAGTACCCGGAGACCACGTACGAGCAAGTGGAAGCTTTGGCGCGAAAATTACTAACCCGGGAACAGTAAAAGCTAGAAAGCTGAAACTTTAAAGGAATGTTCTCTACTCATTTCTGACCAAAATCAGGTGTTTAGAAGCACCTGGGGCCCAAGTACAGACACATGGAAATTTGGCGCGAAAATCACTAACTCAGGAAAGGAAAAAGCTAGAAGGCTGAAACTTTAGGATAATGTTCCCTACTCACGTATTACCAAAAGATTTTAAATTCAGCTCCTTAAAAACGTCCGGTAATCAGTATGGACACTTGAAAATTTTGTTGGGAAAACTGCTAATTCGGAAATGAGATAAGCTGACGGCTTTAATTTTAAGGAAATGTTCCCTACTTATGTGCGACTAAGGGATTTCAAATTTAACTCTTCTAGTGTGTTCTTTATTGCGGACCAGCACCTCTCCATTTGCCGGGTCACTGAAGCCGACATCTACAACTAACATACCGCATAGCTGCACAGTCAACTTCCCGAACTTCGAGGGCCAGTATGTCACAAAGCTAGCTACTATGATTCCTTGCGATCTTGCTATGGCACGAAAAGTGCAAAAACGCATAATCGCACCGGCCCGCCTGG